GAAGAACTCAACTTTGGCTGTACGTCTCAACATGAAATGTTGCAATGTAGCTCTGGGTAAGGGTTGGGGTCGATCTCTTCCGTACATCTGCAACATTTCAGCGCTGGAGGACTCCCCTGATCCAACGGATCCCGTTTTGTAAATCGCCACTGATAATTGTGCCGTTTTGCATCAATTGTGGATAAAATACCACATAAGCTTGGAGCGTTCTCACTTATTCTGCGGGGTAGGGGCACCGAATTCAATGCTAGTATTTATGAAGGCTTACCTGGGGTCTGTGCTTAAAACTTCAGCATCTTGTCAAACGCCGCGGATCACGACGAGAAATTCCTAGAACGTCATACTGGAATCCGTGTGCATGAGTGTGTTTTACTCAAATGTTGAATCCTCTAATTTTCAGTTGCTCTTGGTGATAATAAACCATCCAAGAAAACCCAACTCGGAATATTGTTGATCCCATTTCAGTATCCTCTATTGAACTGTGTCGCAACAGATAACCGAACACGAGTCTCAAAGCCCGTGGTCAATTTGAGCAGGACTGAAGAGTTCTGAGTGAGAATTATTGAATATTTCGGCTTAATCGAGAGCACTTAACGGACATCACTCTGGTTTTATGCGTTCAATGAAATAACTAGTAATTTGTAAACAGCTTAATTTAAAGTGTTCTACAATTTCAGTTCTAATTAAAGTAAGACAATTCCAAGTACCTAGATTTACTAATGATAGGCAATTTGAAATAAACATCAGTGAAATAATAATTTCTGTCTGTCTGTCTCTCTGATAGCCATTTGTCTGTCTTTATATTTTTTATGTATGAGCATCCCGACTATTCCTATCCATGAGATTTCCATCAACCATCAAATAATAGTCAGTTGGTGAAATATCATTCATTTGTTACGTAGTCTAGAGCTTTGTCCAATATTTATGAAAACCTATGAAGAGTTATTGCGGCGTGCTACAGAAATTGGAAAGAAAACTAACAGGTCTATTTTCCCTATTAAGTAGATATTAAAAGCGAAATTGAAAGCCTAGATAAACCGATTTGCACACATATTTAAAAGCTGACCCTTGAAAGTGATACGTCAAGCCAATTTGGCGACAAAACCACGCTCCGATGAATTTAATCTTCAAACCAAACCTTTGCCGGAATCACAGTTTTGTAATAAAACACGAGGTTGAGCTGCATTTGAGTACGCTTAATGGGCACATTCGCTTTGCGTGATCTTCGTTTTTGGGGAGGTGGGGGGAGACTAGGACGAGCCGGTGATATGCAGTACGAACGAATGGGGAACAGTTTCACCTTCTGACTGACCACAATCTATGCATCCTTTTTGGTTCTGTGTGAACGGCTCAGTGTTTCATCTGGGTGCGATCAAGTGGAATATAATCCTCCATACGAAATTCAGAGTATACGTTTGTCTGTCCCAAACTCAACTTTCCCCAACTCATACACACATCTTTCTACACAATTTGTATATGTTACCACGGAAAGCATTGATCACAGAGTTGTTACTAAACTCATCACACTATTCAGTAGTTTTTCTGCTCAGCTATATTACATCACGTCGTCTCCTACAGGATGGTGTTTTTCAAAGTTGGTTAGTTAATCAGCTAAATGTAACCGATGGAAATTCTAACATTTTCAGCTTTATCACAGATTATTTTGAACAAATCTAGAGTTCACAAGCTTGGAATCAGGTTGGCTGGTTTTCTCTAATGATACGAGAATTTATTTGAATATGGTTGGGGGTTACCGTTAATTTGTAAGCCTAGATTATGCAGTTACCGGCATCATCCGGAGTGAGTTTGGGACCACGGTGTGCATGGACGTGTTTGTATGCGACAAAGCTGCAATCATTAGATCACGCCCCTGTGCTTCGCCCGGAAGTTTAGTAATATCTGTATATAGAAGCCAGTAGTAAGCCGACAATCAGGTGAATTGGGGCCAAAATGAAACTTTTGTAATTGAAACAATTATTTCCCGAAATCAACTTCAGCATAGAACAACACTGCAAGCGATCATAAGTTAATTCCGGAATCATTTTGTTCCATCTCAGCTGGTACTTGCTGCAGAAACAAAATAGTTTACGTATCCCAAGGCATGACAATCTAACATGGTATCAGTTCATTCTTCCGCTTACGAGATCACCAGGACGATGTCAAGATTTGCATAGCCCATCGCAATCAAGTGCCGAAGGCTGTGTGTGCTGTGTCAGCAGAATGAGGTCTATATCAGCCTGGTAATTCTCTAGTGACCACGTAGGCGGAAGAATGTACTAATACTCTTGTAATTACCATTTAACCAATACGTTTGAGATTTTACACAGTTAAAATCAATTATAAAATGGCTACCAGGAGGTATTTTATGTGATTTGATTATGTCAATTTCACCGGTTCTAGGAGTTTCCAATGTGAACCTACCAACCGGAGTAATGCACCTATATGAAGTGTTAGACTTCTAATTCTTCCTTCTTGGGTTTACATACGGTTTGATTCTTTGAACAGGTGTTGTGGTTTCTTCATCTCAAATTATAAGGGACTTTAAAATTTTTCCGGGGAGAGCAACTTTCACTTTTCAAATTAATCAAGCTTTATACACAATTTGTTAACGAGAACAGTGGATTACTAGAAAGTAAAGGAATTTCAAGAAAAAAGGATCCTTCATTTCAAAAGCAACTACAACCATTAATCAATCAATATATTTCAATCTTCGACTGTATTTACAGCACAAAGGACTTGAACAATCGATTACAAATACAACATGAAATATTTTCAAGCCATTCCTCATTTGGTTTAGCACTGACCCAACAATTTTGAGCTAAGTTTTGATGTTTACACGGTTCAAAAAAGCAGACTTCACTGCATTGTAAACCCTGAATGTGAAATTGTTAATGAGTCAACAATTTTCTGATTCTTTCAAAGCAATAGATTGCGAAATGTATATATGCCAGCAGAAAACACATAGTCAGAGTTTATTGTTGGTCAATGGCCAAACTTCCAACGTCCAAGTCAGCAGCTTAAAATCCACTAAGAATATTGAGATATGGGATGATATCAATATAAAGTTGCATTAGTCAAGAACAGTCATCATAGCTTGATCTCCACACAATCTGATTCACGTCACAGATTACCCCAAAAGGGTTCGATAGCCAGGGTTTATGATAGCCATATAATAGATTTGTCAATACAGTTTTGATTGTTTCGAACTGCCGGATGTGTACTTAGGTCTTGTATTTGTTTGAAACGATGAGGTTGAGTAACCGAGGGCACCAATTCGTGTCCCTTAGAAACCGGTTTTTCTGGCTTTGTTTTTGGACTAAGGTGTAAACTTACATAATGCGACTATTTTACTAATCACGCTTGGCAAGTAACCCAACATTAGTTTTTCTCCTACGCAAATCAAATTCCACCCAAACTGCTTTGGACTCATCCGATGTGTCACCGGACGCAACGGTGATTTTGGTCAATGAACCACACCTAGCTACCACTGACCTGGGGTCAACCAGTTCCATGGAGGTTAAGACCACTCATCTCAACTCTTCGCCGCGACAGTCGACACTATCATCATTAAGACAGCACCCCACCAAAACATAATACAGAGGCAAACAATCAATTTCCTTAATCGTAACATCACAGCGATCTCAAGTTTCGTTTTAAGTTTACCTTTTTCGTCAGATCGTGTTTGTCAACTGATCGGCCCGATTGCCTTTGTTCTTGGTTAGAAGTGAAACACCATTTGATGCATTTTTTCTGGTACTCACTGAAGTTTATTCTAAGAGAAAGTAAATGACAGGATGGTTTGTTTGGGCGGAGTGTTTTTGTGATGATTGTATCACAACAGCGGAAGTAGTTATAATGATAAACCTAATGATGCTGATGAGGGTTTCAAGGTTCCTTCCTTTGATCGGCCAGAATAATTTAGTTCATAATGGTCTGTAGAACAGGGCGATAAGATCGTGAATAAGATTAAAAACAGGGAATAAACTGAGCCCTAACTGTTCATTGTTTTCTTTAGAAACACATTTCTCTCACTAAGATTCAAAACTTTTAATGTATTTTTGTTCTGATTTTTCAACAAAATGATTCTTTCTGTATAAGGATTACCACTAAAATGCAATTATTGTTTTAATCACTAGTTCCCCTTAAGGCAGGTGCTCATGCAATTAATTCTGTGACTCACTTTAGGCTGAAACACAAACAGGCTGTATTGTCAGCCATTTCCTCGGGCCTATTAGAAATATAAAAGTTAAAACTGGTCTCATCCGATTGGTTTATAGTATTGAACATGATCAAATAAATACATAGACTCGACTATTTAGGACCAATACACATACTTCAGAGAGTTCGGTATCCAATGAAGTCGGGTCATCTAACGCAAATGACATGTGCGCATTATATGTACTAGTGAGGTTAACTTCCGATGACTGAAAGCGGTTTGCGCATCGAATTAATAATCGGAGCTCACATACTGATGGATTTCATGATTATCCTCGCTTGTTGTTCCCAACAAGCCAAACAAAAACAATTTCCGAGTGTGATGTGCACTGGCTCCACTTGATCCACACATCTTTATACACATGAAGAAGCAAATATTCTTAGTTGTCATGACAGCTGTTTTTCACGCCTTTTGTACCACATTTACGCTTAAGTGATAGCTAGCACATGCTTTGTTATTTTGTCTAATTAACTTCATTTGTACACCAAAGGCGATAGTGCTGGTATTTATATTGAACAGCAGCATCAACCTTACCATTTTGGGTACCATCCTGCGATGTGCTATTTTGTTCGTGTTTTCACCGTATAACGTTCCACACCATAGAAAAACCACAGATACCGAAGTTGTTCAGAACTGATTTTTCAATTGTCCATGCATACTTAGTTGAACAGATAGGTAAAAAGAACCTGGTGCTTTCATGCCACGAAACTCATCCACCGCTTCTTTGGGAAAGCCAAAATCTAACACTTGCATCTACTTGTGTTTTTAAATTTCATTTATGAAGGATTCTTCTGCCATGGTCAATTTGAGTGTGAAGTTTGCACCAGTGGTTCCTAGTCTTCACAACAATCCATCACTTTGGTGGATTGATGGCAATCGAATGACGGAATTCCTTTATCGGTTGTTCTGGCCTTTACAAGTGCAAACGCAATCCGCAACCGGGTTCACCGTCGAATGGGATGAAACATCGGAAGAGAGATGGGATTGGGTAAGCTAACAAAACAAATGCTTCATTCAGTGTTAATTTACCGACCGTACTCAGTGCTGATTATCTATAAATTCATTCATCCATTCATCCATCTATCCACCTTTATTTCCTTCCGTTTAGTCATTCCTCGAAGGACCACACGCTTTTCCACGAAATTTTTCTGGTAAAATGAATGAATGTATTATCATCATAATGTTATTAAACTTATTATTCATGTCGAAACTTTTATACTTTCAAAGTATCTGGTCAAACGGATAAACTTTAATTATTTTCATTTTGTTATTACTTTGCAGTATCTGATATTCATCAACTATATTCCATGGGTGGTAAATCTGTCATATATCTTAAAAAATCTCTAATATTGTACTTGAAATTCTACTAGGACCCACTTGGTATGCCATCTACAAAACAAAAAAGGGTGATTTATCTCAACACAATGTGTCCAGTCACATTTTGTGAATGAACTCATTGTTTTGTCTCACTTCAAGCACATAAGATCATTGCAACAAGTGTCGTCCGTATGTTTAACACCTGGAGGAGTCATGAACATGCATTTTTAAATCAATCGCATTAATCCTTTTCTGATCCGAGTGGATACTTGAAACCTTCCGCAGTAACTCGACGCAATGAACGTCGTTTGGTTCAGTTAACTAAGCCGATCAATGACATCAGCAAATCCACATCCGTAAAAGAAACCAGAAACTTTTGGTAGCGCAAAAAAGAAGTATGAAAATTTCGGATAACGATCCTACTTGGTTCAAACGGAATTGGTTTGCTGTGTGTAATCATTCGCATCCGTTCGACTTACTGACGAATGCAAGACAAGGTTTTGAAAAATATGTATTTCGATCCCCACGCTGGGCTACACAATAGGGACATATGTAGGCAATTGCACTGTCGCCGTTTCCAGATTATTCGTGAATCCGTTTGTGGACATTTATCGCACGAACAACCCGGCTACCCAACTGAAGCACTGTTGATAGACAGATTGAATTGATCTGCGGTCACTTGAATAAGAATACTGTCGCAACAGAGCAGAGCTGTTAATTGATCTTTTACTAACAGCGGATTGGTAGAGCGCTTGTATGTATGTTTTCAAGAACTGCATAAAAGACAACATATATTTGCTGCAATAAATGACGTTGTTCATAAAATAACTAAAAAAAGATATGTTGCTCTGAAATTAACGTATACACACGTTTAACTGTTGTTGAACTTCTAGTAGAAATCAGTTTCTTTCATGTTCATCATAACTGTCATTTGTATTTAAATAGGGAAACGTCGTCTTACCATGAACTGGTCTTCAACAGTGATGTGATTCAATCGGAAGAACCAACTCACAAGGTTGTACAGCATAAGCTACAAATCCATCCTCATTTGAAGGAACCAGGCAGTGATATAGATCCGCGGTTAGAGCGTAGACACGCTACAGAAATGCATTAGTAGAGGAAGTTAGTTTTTCCTGATTCCCTCGTTAAATTTACTATCGTTTTATGATGAAGTGACATGCTAAATAGCTTGCTTTTTTCTGCCCAAAGTTCGCAGTACATGTTGTAAAGTACTGTACGTTCTAAGAAAGCGTAAGATTCAACATTTAATTAAATCACACATCCCTTGGATTAGATTGTTTAAACTTGATAGAATGCTTGATAAGAGGGGTGTTCGAGGACCACGTACAGAGCATTCGGTATTCGGGCGAAATGGGTTTGCGTTTCAAAGCATCTGAGCAAGGATTACCCCTAGTGGGGAGTGGATGTCAATAGACCGGATAGTCTCCGTTTTCATATATGTTCTACCGGCTGTAACGTACTAAACATTATAGTAAAAAGTTTAGTTGTGGCATTCTTTGTTCACTATTCATTTTCAATACAACAGTATGAGTGCAATTTATCATTTTTTTATGTTATGAAGAAGAACAACTAAATGTGCACGTACCGCTAAGTCAATAGTATCCAGATAGCTTTTTCTATCTCCGGGATAAGTATAGGAATTCCAGATTAAATGGAAATGGATTCAACAAAAGGTGAACAGGGAGAAAACATGAGAATAAAGAAAGCATTAAGTATGTATTTTTAATTTCTGGACCAGCGACGTACGCTCCTCCTATGGTATACAAGAATGTTTCATTGGGCTTCAAAGGCTAGAAACCGATACGGTATATTATTTGGATCCTGGGAGCTACAAATAATGGCGTTCGCTTGTGCCGTTGGCATTTAATTATTATTAGCGGTGATGGTTTGTTGTGATGCGGAATGTTCTAGGAATAATGGTCAATAGGAGCGGGGAGGGGAACAGATTGGTAACATGTTGAATGTAGAAATTGTTCCCTAAGCATTTTCTTGTTCGCTTTATGAGTCAGCTTGAAGTTGATGGAACGGAAGGCGATTTTGGTTGCGGAATATATGTCTCCGTGACGTTACTGGTTAATTTTGGTGATATTACGTGGATCCTGGGTAAATGGGCTGAGCTTTTGGTAGTACTCTCTTTAGCAGATTCGGACTAAAAGATTGGGTAGTCAGTTTCATGAAATAAACTACAATGTTCACAAACGCTTTTTATCATTCGGATAAGATATATTTTGTCCGTAAAAAACAACCTTCAAACCAAGTATTTTTACAAAGGTCCTACTCGTTAGTCGCGCACCCTATATGGAAGTTTTATTCCTTGCTGCACGTACAAATCGTCAGTTCGCATGATTTCATGGGAATTCACAATACTGAATGGTTTGATAGAAACAATCAGCATACCTTTATTGGAGGTGTAGTACATATGATGATCGGGAAAAATGAAATTATTTTACTTGTCATGCTCACTACCTAGGGCTTTTGAGCTCAGTTGTGAGTAGATTACAATGGTTCTTGAACTCGTTTTCATTACTTATCCCAGTTTTGAAAGTCCACGGTGGTTATTTAAATTATCACCTTAAATTTAGGTTTGTCAGGCCTGTGCATACATCGATTACCATACTTAAAGACGAGGAGAATTAAACAACTCGACGAGAGAGGGATCACCTACGATAACCGAATATTTTCAAAAACGAATGAAGATACAGTGGAGAAGCAAAGCTACTCCAAATGCTTTCCTTTTACACCTGTACCGATAAACGAACGCCAAAATTTGATATTTGATTCTCATATTTAGGGGGCTTTTCATAACATTTTCATGGTGGAAATATCGGAGACGTTTAAAAGTTACAAACGAACCTATAAGCGTCCTTCACTTTTTGCATACCAATTGGACTTCGACCATTTGCGCAGACTGACAGAACCACTAATGTCGACTTTTCACGCTCAAACTCATATTAGTTCTACATGGGCCCTAGTAGCTTCATTTTCTATTGTTTTCCGTGTATGGTAGCAATTCTTTCAACGTTTTATCTCGAGTTCAGATAATATTTGTGGCGAATTGGTGTAGGTCATCAATAAATGCGATGTAATCTTTTTATGCCATAGTTCGCTCGACTCGTTAAAACGAAGTTACTTGGTCTATAATTCATTGTACAGGAAGAACAAACGTATGAATTCATGTCGGGCACTCGATATGAAACAATGGTCTCTTTTACAACATCAAAAGAATAAGAGGTTTTATATAATCCACCAATGTAATTTACTCTCATCCCACATTCCATTTGCATTCCGGAAACTATATCAAATACATTTCTTTGCAAACCGGAATTGAATGATGCACAAACTCTGACATCTCTTTTGTTCTCTGTATCACGTGATGTCCACTTCATATATTATTGAACTAATCATGCGATATGTAAATGACGCATTTCAATATATTGTTTTTAGATAAAAAGCTCTAGAAATATCGGGACAAATGCAAACAAGTGTACACAAACCTATTCACAATCCACCAGACTACTGATTGATGACCACGCTGGTTTACTTATATGGTTAGATTCGTTCTGTCGTCTGCATTAGAATAAGGCTGACATATGCTGCGAATAAGGATGCAGCTAAAAGCCACTTATAACTCATTTACAATCATTAAAGACTTTGTTCATTTTCTCTGCTAGGTACCAAAGAGGAGCGGCTGTACGGTATTTTGCGAAGCAGCGGCTGTAGTCTGCCTTGTGATTTTGTGTGAAAACTACCTGCTTCATACTACCTGCTTGATCCACTCACCCCCGGGGAGACGGGGTACGTGCTCCACTAAAAACACTTAAAACGTGTGCAAGTTGGCTGGTGAGAGTTGAGACAGAGCACTATCACAAGTCACCACTACCACCATCAAAACAATCACCACCAACACCAACTACTTTAAAAGCATCTTCCAAAATAGATTAACTGCTTCAATATTGAGCGGGCAGACAATTGGAGCAGTTCGATTCAACGATGAATCAGCTAGGGTAAATACAGACGACAAAGTCAAGTACAAGTTATCACGAAACTGTGGGTACTTTGCCCAATTGTATAAACCAAAGAAGGGAATTAAAACTCTTTTCTGGTCTAGTAACATTGGTCATAGCAAAATAACAACAATAAATGTGTTAAGAAACCACGTTGCTTCTGTATTCAGCCTTTGAAAACACCTTATCCTATATACCAGTTGACGGGACATATTGGTGCCATTGTTGTTTTCCCCAGACACTATGAAGGATTTCATAAGGATCATATTGTTTAATATTGTTTCTTCGGCAAGGTTATCAATTTTCGGTCGCATATGTCTAGATGTCGCACTAACTGATTTAAATCCCCTTTGTAAGTTCAGGAATATGACGTAGAACACCATAACGTAACACATCTGATAATTTTTGAAACGAAATCTACAACTGTGTTCTTAAATGGATGCCCCCTGTTGGTGCATGCACTACTGATTTTAAGATGGAAACACACTGGAATCTAACAGTTTTTATTCCAACGAAAGTGAAACAAACCATTGAACGGTCCAATTTACCGGTTTCCATAAAATAATTATCATGCCCCCCACTTCCAGTTATCTTACTTGCACAACTCGTAGAAACTCTTGTGTTGCCTTTACTAACATCTAAATTCCTGTCGGCAAGATTGATTCCGGTGCACCAATATCTTGAGACCACTGCATTTTTATTCATTTCTTATATGAGATTCAAGTACCTTACAGAGATCTTGCACATCCATTATCCACTCGGAATTATTTATTCTTTCTTTCCACTATCAGAAAGCATAACGTTAGCGCCCATGTCGAAGACCCCACAGAAAAGCTTGCTCACATCACTTTTGGTTCACAATTCTTCAGGTTTCTTGAATATATCTCCACATTTCCTTCGGGGGTCACCGGACAACGGTGCTACTATTTCTCATTTTCACACTCCATCTGTTGTCCCAACGCTTACTTCGGACTGATGCGGCTACCGTCGTTTTCTACGAATTCCTTCACTGCTGTTTTTCCCTCAGCCCTGGATTTTGTGAAGACTATTGTTGAATAAACAAATATATCTTTTTGTCCGCTCTTAGAAATCCGGAAAGAGCACTCTCTTCGATAGTTATTTAATAATATTTTTACATGGTCAGACCAAAAAAGTAACCTTTCTAACGTTGGAGCTCTAACCCCAGAATCCTCGTTCTTCTCCTCGCTACAAATGTGCTGTAAACATTTTGAGAGCTGAATAGAAATTGATTGTCGTAAGGCAAAATCTTGCAGGTTGTAAATCGTGATGAATCTTGGTTCAGTGGTTCCCCATAATTTCTGCCGTTCCTTTTATCCCAGTTAAGAAATCTTCCAGTAATCTGGTTGCCAGTCCTTCCCAGGAAACTGGGACACATTTCTTCCTATTTACTTCCCATTCTCTCGTGCGCAAGTACACCTATTCTCCCATCGCATCCCACCGACCATGACCACACGTGTCTTTCGAAACTAATCACCAAGAATATCCGTTTAGCATTGCGGTTGCGAAATACACCCAGGTCATAACTTCCTGATGGATTCTTATTGACCGTGTTGGTGACTTGCTCGCCCGGGTCTGCTGGTATTCGTCACGGTTTTCCTCAGTCTACTCCCAGCCCGTTTAGAAGTTGTTCATGTCGTATGCATCCATTAGTCAGATAGCCCCTCTGTTTCAGTTAATTGCCATCGTTGCTCTCAAGTCGTTTCATTCAAAAGTTATGAAACAAGTGATTGAAAAGCAACTTCACTATGACTTGGAACACTGCCAATTTTCTAGTGACTATCAATATGGCTCCCAGTGCTAGGGAACAACTGTTGACCGTAGACAAACTGGAAACGCATTTTTTCCTCCACCATGTTACTCCATGGCAAGTTGCAGCTAGGCTCATTCGATAAATTCAAGCCGTTCAATCGTATCTGTCATTACCGATTACTAGCGCAACTTCACCTGTTTGGATTCTCTGCGTATTTTGTCGTTCAGAAAGGTGGCTTCCTTTGTGACATTTCAACCCCAGATTGAAGATGATGAGATCGTTTTAAGAGCATACCTAACGAAATTCGGCATCCCACATGTTTTGATGCTCTTTCATAATTTCTACCTTTTTCGAAGATCTTTCTTTCCCATCTTTAAATTCCACTCCGGTTTCTAACCACTTCGTAATCCCACATTGTTCTGTTTCTGACAACAATTCCAGCAGATCCAATGACTTTTTGATTTGATCTAACATAAAAAGCCTCCCGTTTTTCGCCGATCCCTCCTCAACATCGACGTCAATCACATGAAATTATTTTCCTTGTGTTTTTGTTGTTATCACGGAGCTTGCCGATTTATTGCCTTCTCCCATTCGATCTTCTCATGAGACACCATAGCAAACTTAAAGTCATCTTCACCAAGTGACGTCAAAATTTTCTTAAAATGCGGCAACCAATTTTCTTTTATCACGGAACCGATCCGTACTGTTTCTCCTAAATATATATATATATCGACTAAAACACGCTTCACCAAAGTTATGAGTAATTTGGTTGTCTATCGACATTTTCCCAAATTCGCCGATAAGAAATATTTCGCTCTAGTTTGATGCTGTTTACATTTCGGCTGTTTTTTACACACACTGGTTTGATTATGCAGCTCATCATTCAACCATGAACCGATCTGTATCCTTCCATAGCTCATGTGTACTCTGCGCCTGACTAAACAAGAAGAAAAATTCATAGAAATAGGTTTCCTCTCAAACTGGCTTCCGTCCAAATCCTCAATGTGATACGTATATTTTATTTTATTTTACGCTTCCATACGCATGCGTATACTGTGCTTTACTTACATTTGGATATTAACCTTTTGACCGGTAAATCCCAAGGAACATTCTTAAGGGAATGACGAATCAGCAAACTTAATTCCACAGATGTTTATATTTGCATCCTCCATATAAACGAACACTATACGCATGTTCTTTTGTTCGATGTAAACAGCTTCCCGCAACAAGTCCCGAGTACGTGACCTGGTCGTCCACCTCACCACGTGACCCAGACAATAGCACAGAACAGTTTCACCATCATATGGCAACGCTCACATTGCGGGTGACCAGTATGCAGCCGTATACACATCATCGTCTACGCATTTGGCAGCCGCTATACACTCTGTTCTCACCGAGTTTGGAAAACAGAAATTTCACCGCGAATCCAATTGTTCATTCCATCCCATCCCAGTGGTTCACCACAGCTGCTAGTGTGCCTCGTTCCGCACCGGGGAGGGTGCATCTGGTTGTGTTGGACGACAGTCATCTTCAAGTATCGTGGAAGGTGCGTAATGCGTTTGGAACAAAACTCTCTTCAATTAATTGGCGTATCGTCCAGGACCATTACAGAGTAAAATAATGTATATTTAGGTGCGATTTCTAGTGCACCGACAAAAGGTCAAACAATGGAAGGATTCTTGTTTCCTGCTTGTCATCCTAAAGTTCTTACAAGCGAAAAGATGTCGTCTATAGTTAGTGGTGGAAGTTTTTGTTTGTAATATTGGTGGAGAGTCCTCGTGGCGTGAAAGTTGCAGTGGCTCCTCAATGACCGTTGGCCGCAATAGCATACACATTAAGTATATTGTTTTAAACTCTCTGTTATGACAACTATTGGGCCTCACTGTAAAAACCACTCCTGTGCACAAAACGTTCGGTCTTAATGGACCGTTAGCCGGATGCTTTCAAGAAAACATCTTTATTGCATTTAAAATAGCTTGAAGTACTCATGTGAAAGGAGGCTTACAACCAGTTCGGAAAATGACTTTCTAAGTATCAATGCTTTTAAGTTTTACAAAGATCAGTACAAAGTGATCACTACGATAAACCCACCTCCGTTCTTTTCTTCAAAAGCTCTATAGAAAGAATAGCAGGAGCACACATCTGCGAGGGCCTTTGGAAGATTAATTCTTTTGTTTTGTATAAAATACAATTGTTGTTTATAAAGAACTTCAATATAAGTACCTGGTGATGCTGAATCATCCTTGAGATTTGGTCCCTATTTTACGGTTTCTCGCAGTGTGACATCTTGTGAACAGTAAGGAGTTTCTCCATAGGGTAAAGATAATTCACTTTTTGGTATGTTTCGTTTCACAACACTCTTATCTCTATTAAAAATTTTGATAAACCCACTAGTCAGACTTATTTATCGCTTCGCAGTCCGGAAATCGTGGATAGTTGTGTGCGTGAAAGACCTGAGAATTTCGATTGCCTCTGGGACCGCCTATTATTCAGAATAAACCGTTTCTTCAAACTACTTTTATTTCTCCCATTTGAGCTGAAATGAAATGCATTTGTACTCTCCTGGGTCACACCGATTTGATGACGTACTTTTTTTATTTTCCGCTCTAACCGCAGCCTTTGTTGCCTTCTGAATGGAACGGTCCACCGGGGGGATATGTGATCACTCTGGAACGTATTGCGTCTGTGCTACACAACAACCAATCAAAGTTTGAAGAACTTCGTTCCCCACGGCGTATGAAATACGACTGTGGCCATGTGGAGCGCGACGAATGTGGCATCATGCGACAGCTCATCTGTGTCAACCAGACCAACCTACATGAATATGTTTTTAAGGGATTACAGTCCGCTGCAGTGTATCGTGTTCGAATGCGCGCTTTCTCGTGGGACGTGAGAGAAACTTCATACGGCCCACTTTACGGCCCCGAAGTGATGCGGGTTATGGATGATGCAGAGTCGGAAACAACCCGGGCATTTCTCAAATATAATGCTTTCTATGCGGGAACGCAGATGTGGACAAACATACCGACTAGTAGCGTTAATAAATTGTACGCTTTGGTTGATTCCGAAGGCTTTCAGTTACAATGGTCTGAACCAAGTGTGTTTCCCTGTGAGCAAACCATCACTGGCTATCGGGTAAGAATACTTTTAAATCATAAATGATGTTTCATTCCCCAACGGCACTAGTTCTTCAAAGTGACAGGGCGGTAATTGATGTATCCACCGTTTATTCAATCTACGTGGATGGTGGCGGTCAAACGCGGTTACACTCCATCATGTCGTCCCGAATATCGCGCGCTGGAACCCCCTCACCAACGCTTGAATTTCATGAAAATGTTTAATCACATATGGCAACATTTTGATTGGTAGCTTTCTACTTTCTCAAAAGATGCAAAGTTTCAGTTTCAGTTTCACTTTTACAACCATTAACCATGCAATTTCGTGCGCCGGTTTTGGTTGCCCATTTGGATAAAAGAGCGAAAGGAAGATTGGAATTTCGAATCAAACTCAAGCAGAAGATGGGGAATACATATAGAGTGGTGTTAGAAAAATAACGAATGGATGCACGAGCGCCACTGTTTGCGACACCCGGCCATATCACTCAGTGTAGCTAACCATCGGTGACCATCATCCCGAGGTCCCCAGCCAGGGAGCCTAACGGGGCCTATGTGACCTAGTCTCCTGGTTAGGGTTTTCATACCCTCATGCCAGGTCTTAGCTTGACCGCTCTTCGTTTTTTCCAATCGCTACCGGCCTTGGCAAACATCGTTCGCCGTGGCAACCTATCTGGTGACATGCGTAGCACATGTCCCAACCAGCGTAATCTATGGAGGTCGATCACTTTCTCTAGTGGACGACCGCGACTGCTTAGAAAC